GCTCCAAATAAGAAATCGGAATTTGTCACGTTCACTTATGCGCGAATACACTAAGGAAAGGTATGAATCCTTTTTTCCCCCTAAGCTATGGGGTAAACAGTGGGACAGACTGGACTCTTTAGCCATGGTTGTTAAGCAGTCTAGGAGAAGGATAACTTTGAATTTGAACTGTTTGGGCATCCCATAAAAGATATTAGTTGCTATGGAAACCAGTACAGCAATGCTTTTTGTGTTAAGGTCTATGGCACAATACTGCTCAGAGTAAGAGACATGTTAAATAGTAGGACATATCTGAAAAAAGGTGTTTGTTAACAGCTGTACTCTGTCTATCCTATCTTCAATAGGCCATGTGAGTTGCTGATTCTTCAAGCCCTCTTTTCTCATTACGTGCTCTAGGTATTTCAACAGTTTCTTTCTGATTCTAAGTATAAGAGTTCTTTTTGTTTCCATTTTTTTTTTTTTTTCAAAAATGTATTGCTGGTAATTTTACTATAAAATCTATTTTTATACTTTCATAGTTTTTTGACTCCAGTTTGGGAGTTAACTATTTTCCCCATAGTTGGGACCCTATTGTGCTACCACTTTGGGTCAGAGTGGACCTGGGAACAACAGCAATTAAAAGGTAGTTCCACGCTCCTCAAAACCCTTCAATCCTTGCTGCCGGATGCAGTTTATCGTCATACTAAGGAAGACATAATCTGAGTGAGTGACAATATCAGAATAGCAGAAAAAGAGAAATAACTCTTCGATAATGTAATAAAGGAAAGCAAGAAGAAAGGCCTAACTATTAGCTACACAAAGACAGAATGAATGGTTGTCAGCAAAAAAAAAACTACAAGGGATATAGTTAGGGACGTAAAAATCAAGCATCAAGAAATTTAAATATCTGGGTAGTGTTGTTGTAGTCAGTACGAAATAATAACTCTCTTTACCCACTCCCTTCAAGTTCAGACGAGCTGAGGAAAAAGACGGAAATTCGCGAGCCTTATGTCAAATTTTCTTTGGACCAATAAAAACCTCGCCTTTACAGAGATTGACCGACGTACTGAGAAGAAGACGGAAATAAATTCGAGAGCCAGTGGAATTGTCTTAGAACAATGAAAACCTTATCTTCACAGAAATTAGCCGTTGAGCCAAGAAGAAAGAAAAGAAAATAGTAAGACTATGCGATATTCCTTTTGATATAGAATGAGGAGAAAAATTAAATTAGTAAGAGAAGAGTGTCTGATGCAATGTAAAAGGTTTCGTTTCTGTTTACTGCGTCCAGCGTTGAAGTTTTCGCCAGTGTCAAATTACTTAACGGTCTTTTAACCAAGTACGCGGCACTTCAAAGAACTTTTTTTTCAGCAATTCAAGAAAGTTAAGTATTTCAAACTATCTCTCTTCGTCTACTTTTGGATATATGCAACCATATATCCTTTCTGTGAACAACGGACACTCTTCCCTTGTTTTAAACATTTATGAATAATATTTTGTGTCAGATCATTTCATCTGTTGTATGAACATTTCCTCTTCATGACAATTTGTTAAAACTACGGACTTTAAAAATTTCTGATTTATTTCCCTAAAACGAACCACTGCCCCAACTTCGAGCGTTTAAATTCGTAAATAAATTGCTTATCTTTTTTTTTTTTGTTAAAATTACCGGTGTGTTTCCTCGTCGTTAGCATCCTCCATTAACCTTAAACCAGAAAATATTACAAAGCGCATTGGAAAATGAAAATATGCCTTCTTAAAAGTAAGCAAAGTATTAAAAGATAGGAAAATATTTGAACTCTGACATATAAGAACGAGCGCGAAATTCTTCGGAAAGTCACGAGTTTAACGTAGACGTTAGGAGGAAACTATGCCAAATCCACAGAGTCGAACACCGGCCGTGTCACGTACAAGAGTGAATGCGTTTCAAGATTCGACAACAGAACAGACATCTGAAGAATGGTGACATTATATATATATATATATATATATATATATATATATATATATATATATATATATAAGAAATATTACGATTTAGCCATGTTCATAATTGTATCTGACAACGCAAATCGTAGACATCCGGGTTTAAAGCCTCTTTTCTAGGATGCAAGTAATATTCGCCTCAAATTAAGATCAAAATAACAGCGCCACCTACCTGTGCTGATTCATCATGACGTGTCCCACTTTCGATGCATTAAAAAGTATTTCAGCATTTTCAGGAAATTCTTCAGTTTCAGAATCTTCCGAATTTGGTTCTATGTTCTTATATATCTGGAATATAAACACTGTGGACATAGGCATCAACACTTCTTAAAGAATGTCAATGTTACGCTTCAAGCTTACATTCATCTGGCAATGTGGATTCCTGTGTCCATACTGTCTATATCTACAAACGCTCTATCTCTGATATTGAGCACTCTTCCCTTTATAAATATAGTAAACATTGAAATTATACATATATATATACATATATATATATATATATATATATATATATATATATATATATATATATAAAAGAGGTGATGAATTTTTATTTATTAATCCGACAGATTTTATTAAACGTTAATTTTAGTCGATACCCATATTCGAGTAGACACTTCGTTTATTTATTAAACAGTAGATTTATTGCTTTTTGTCTACCAGCCTGAATATTCGAGAGACCTTATTAAAGAAAATATGCGCTCTCCACCAGGATTCGAACCTGCGACCCTCTAGGCAGGGGCGAGAGTCAGGGAAAATTTGCATTTAAAGCCACTATTTAACTTTTCTTGATCATGGACGCACTTCTAGGTTCTTATAATAAATAGAAGACCTTGATATGTGGAGGTACTTCTGGACTAACAAGTCGCAAGACCTGCCTGGAGTTGTGTGAGTGGAGTGGTGAGTAGACTCTCTCGCCTTGACTGGCAGCCACTCTAGGAGAAAAACTATTCTGAATTCAAAACCGTGTACAAGGCAAGAGATTGCCTCGCCATTAACGTTCCTAAGAAGTCATGGTAATACACAGATAATAAAGCTGTGATTGCCTAGGTCCTGAAGAGATATGGCATTTAAAAGAAGAAAAATATATACTTAGATGAACAATGTTACGAACAAATAATACATAGAAATTAAACGTTTTAACAAAATATTGACTGGTTAAAAGGTAAAACGGATGATAGAGCACCAATAGTAAGATTCTCCAGAATCTATCTTATATATTTATAAGTTTACCATTTGTCCATGCTTTAAATATTGCTACCATATATGGTCCGATGCACCTGCTATATATTTAGCGATTCGTTATAAAATCCAACGAAGAATCTGCAATGATAATGGCATCTCGCCTTCAGCCACTTTCCTACCGCCATAACGTAACTTACCTGTGTCTTTTCTATAAATACTTTCAAGTTAATTGTTCTGATGAACTTTCCGCTATTGGGGTTTCATTTTTAAAAGTTGTTATTTTTATTCCCGCCAAACAAATTGTACATATGGGAACTAGTTATTAGGACTTCATAAAGACTTTGAGGTATTATGGTGGCTTTAGTAAGAGACCTGGAGGTATTATGGTGATTGTAATAAGAATGTGCTGTTTTGGTGTAAGTAATAGTGGCTCGCTAAGTTTATGTCAAGTTGTTTTGGGTCAGTAATAGTGGCTCGCTAAGTTTAAGTCAAGTTGTTTAGGTCAGTAATAGTGGCTCGCTAAGTTTAAGTCAAGTTGTTTTGGGTCAGTAATACTGGCTCGCTAAGTTTAAGTCAAGTTGTTTTGGGTCAGTAATAGTGGCTCGCTAAGTTTAAGTCAAGTTGTTTAGGTCAGTAATAGTGGCTCGCTAAGTTTAAGTCAAGTTGTTTTGGGTCAGTAATACTGGCTCGCTAAGTTTAAGTCAAGTTGTTTTGGGTCAGTAATAGTGGCTCGCTAAGTTTAAGTCAAGTTGTTTTGGGTCAGTAATTTGTGGCTCGCTAAGTTTAAGTCAAGTTGTTTTGGGTCAGTAATAGTGGCTCGCTAAGTTTAAGTCAAGACAGACTGGAGACCAGCCTTCCCCATTCACACTTCTGGCCTTGTGTCATTTTAGTATTTTCAAAATAAATTTTACTTTCCTCTATGATACCTAGTCTTTATGAATTTAAGCGCAGTTCTAGATTGTCGGCAAGGTCACATCGTTTTATTGTTGAAATGGATAGACGTAACCGTAAGTTCTATGATAGCAGATTCTTCTTTCACACTTCTCACTTGTAGGACTCACTTCCGGTTTCTTGCTTTCCAGTCAAATTAGATCTTCAAAAATGTAAATCCACTGTCATCGTTATCGTCTGTCTTCTTAATTACTGTTCTTTTATTGTACACGCTCGTTAGTAATATGTTTTCTTTCAAGCCCCCCCTTGCGTCTTAGTGGCTTTGTGACCTTACTCGATTAAAAATGGACTTAGTTGTCAGAGGCTATTTGAGACGCATGCCACGAAAGTATTTTATAGACAGTGGGAAGTTGTCCCCATTACATAACAGTTCAGCAAACTTTTCTCTGTTTCCAATGAAATCTTCTTGTTTCTTAATATTCTGCTTAACTTCTTCAAAACATATTTCGCTACCAGAGTGCGCATTCGGATTTCGGTGTCGCACTTTACGTCCTCTGTTAAAACAACTTCAAGCTGTTGCTTTTGTTTAATGGCTACAGTGCCTAAAAATAACTACGCTCTGTTGAGTGAGTAATGCAGTCTTGGCACCTGTGAAGACTATTTTTCGTAAGACGAAGCCGGTGCCATTCTGTCGCGCCTAACGGAAGAGTGATTAACAACATGCCGTAAATTCCGTTTGGCGCGCGAATGAAAAGAGTCGAGAAATATGAAACCATAGCAGAAGTTTTTATTGCTGATATTAATAATTGCAACAAGTCTTAAAATCTTATACTTAATAGTAATAAAAACACTAACGGGCCAGCCTGGTGATATGGTAATTGCGTATTTCCCGCGGTAGTCGATGTTGGGGCCCAGGTAAAAAAGAAAAACTATAAAAAAAACGGACATTCGAATGCTGATTTTCACAACAGGTTATCTCTTAACGGATTGCATATGCAATAAAAAGACATAAAGAAAAAGAAAATATAGAAAGAATATTTATACAATCTCTATTGAAGGAAAAATGAAAAGAAAGAAAATATAAAAAGAAAATAAAAAAGAAAGAAAATTTAGAAACAAAAATATAGAAAAAAAACAAACATAAAAAGAGTATACAGAAAGAAAGAAAGAAAGAAAGAAAATCTTGAAAGAAAGAAAGGATATGTACAAAAAGACGAGATGCAGTAAGATACAGAAAGAAAATATATTAAAAAAAATTAAAATGTAAAAAGGAAGAAAAAAAGCAAATATACAAAAAAGAAAAAAAATATATAAAGAAAATATAAAACAGAAAGAAAATATAGGAAGAAAGTCTAAAAAAGAAAGGAAGAAAATATAGAAAAGAAAGAGCGAAAATATAAAAGGAAAATAAAGAAAAAAGGAAAGAAATTTCAGAAAGAAAATATAGAATGAAAACATAAAATAACATGAATATAGAAAGAAAGAAAGATAATATGGAAAGAAAGAATGTGTGTAAAAAGGAAGACATACAGAAAGAAAATAAAGACAGTTTATATATGTAAAAAAATGAAAGAAAGAAAAAAATTAGAAAGAAAAAATGAAAATTGAATATAGAATGAAAAAAAAAAAATATAGAAAGGATATGTACAAAAAGAACGATATACAGATATAAAAGAAAGAAAGAAAATATCGAAAGAAAAAGAAAGAAGGAAAGAATATGTACAAAAAAGAAGACATACAGAATTAAATGAATGAAAGAAAGAAAGAAAGAAACAAACAAACAAACAAACAAATAAAGAAAGAAAATATTGCAAGAAAACATAATAGGGGAATATAGAAAGAAAAAGAAAGAAAGAATATGTACAAAAAGGAAGACATACAGAAAGAAAATAAAGACTGTTTATATATGGAAAGAAAGAAATAAAATTTAGAAAGAAAACATGAAAAATATAGAAAGGATATGTACAAAAAAGAATACAGAGAAATAAACGAAGGAAAGAAAGGAATAAAGAAATAAAATATCGAAAGATAACATAAAAAGTCTAGAATGAAAGAAAGAAAATATAGATAGAAAGAAAAATATATAAAAAGAAAGTAAGAAGGAAAATATAAAAAGGAAATATAAAAAAGAAATATAAAAAAGAAAAAAGTGAAAATAAATATTTTTATGGTGTGGGTATTTATAGTAACCTGATATTCAGCAAGCACATCTCGATGACCGATTTACTTGTCTAATGAACTTGATCCTCACTGAATGCCACATTACTGTTGGTTTGTTCTTAACTAAATTAAGTTGATAAGAAGTAGGTGGCCTATCGTAGCACGATATATAAGAAACTCGTCTCGAGCACTCGGTTGCTTGTGTTCTAAGTTCGATTCTCGGTGCGTATACCAAAATAAGCTAAGCAGACCGAATCATTACCACTAAACGTTGGACATAAAATATAGTGATTCATGCAGAAACAGAATGTTAAACGCTGATTTTCAAGAAAGGCACGTTTATCTTCAATAACATAATTGGCGCAGTGCAATTTTCTTTCTTTGCAATTGGTCTATCGTCATTAATAACATTAACCCAGCAAAGTCATTAAATGCAATAAACGACTCATTAACCCCTTCTCCGCGAATTATTTGAGGAAAAACGTTTAATTTTCAGGCGAATTTTTTTTTATTTGTTTTTAATATAGTAACTAAGAAACTGAGGCACTTTGAAGTATCTGAGCGGTGGATAACACCTCTATCTTTGTGAGTTGACAATTGGACGAGTTTCAAACTCAGAAGGGCATACAATGAATCAAGATCGACGTATAAACAAGTCTCTAGCTGGTTTTTTGAATGTCATGTTTTGGGCGTGTTTATTCGTCTGTGTCTGAAAAAGACACTTTCAGTAAAAAAAAAAAAAAAACTCGAGTACACATCTACGCTTGGGAAGGGGGTAATAAAGAAAGAGAAACGAAAGTTAGTGTTCATCAGCTGCAGCAGCAGAAAGGAAAGTGGAGCCGTAGTGATTGAAGTCAAGTATAACTGAAGCCGCAGCATCAGCAGCGGGCAGGCAGAAGTAAGAACATTAAGTTTAAAACTCCAAGTCATAAGTTCAGGATTTCCCTGAGTCAATAGTTTTGTGTGTTAAATCTCTGGTTCAGATCGTATAGAGTCGGTGAAAACGGGGCGAGCATTAACTGAACAGAATTTCCGAGAACAAGACGAAATATTCCTAGACATGATTAGTAGAGCAAGAACAGTCTATCCCGTAGATTAAATAACGGCTTCGTTTCCATGAAGGTTACCTGGATGGACGGAAACCCGTAATAATAACAAGCGAAATGATGTAATGATAACAACGTAAATGAAGATGTAAGTAAATGTAACGAACCCAACTGGAATTCGAACTCCAGTCGAAGTATTACCAGGATTATGATAGTCGTTTCGGGGTTCATTTAATAGAGTTTATTTAACACATTAAAATTATTTTTAACATTTTATTTTCCTAATTTTTTTTTTTTTTTTTTTGAAACGATTTCTTTTAAATAAAGATCAAATGAATAAATACCTCTTTAGGACATATTTTAAGAAAACATGTTATTAACAAACAAAAGCAATTGGTTATCTGTCGAAATTTTTTTTTTTTTTTACATTTATTTTGACAAAAAGATTTTTTGTCATTTAAAGTACATATATATATATATATTTTAATTAAAGAACAAACACACAGGGTATACACAAAAGTAGATATACAGTAAGTAATATGACCAGTATTATAAATGTTCTTTCTAGGATTCACTAAAATTATTTTTAATATTTATATTTTCATAATTTTTATTATAATATATTTATTATAATTTTTATTTTTTACTAAATAATAATAATAAATGTTTTGTAGGGTCAAATTGTTTGAACATTTGAGTGAGTAATGTATAATTATTGATATGTTTGTATAATCAATACAATAGGTTTCGTGTGCATGTTTTGTGTGCACGTTTTGTTTTTCATTACAGTATACCAAGTTTTACTTTTATATGTATATATACAATACTTTACGAAACTAATTTAAAAGAAATATGTCAGAAAAATAAAAACCGAATTAAATATTCTAGAACTTGCCGTGGTACCAATGGTGTAGAATTCGTGAATCTTAAGTTTGCTTCCAAACTTTGTACGGGCCTTTCCGTAGCCAATGGACTGCACTACGATGACATACTTGAAGGCTTTCGCAATTGTGATTCTTCTATCCGCTGCAATAAGAGCACCAGTCTCATTCTCATGAACAGCAGGCATCTGGGCCTTTCCTCTCTCTCCTTCTCACCACCTGATATATATATATATATATATATATATATATATATATATATATAGATAGATAGATAGATAGATAGATAGATAGATAGATAGATAGATAGAATAATGGACTCTCCCGTCGGCTTCGACGTATGAGTATCTGCCATATATATATATATATATATAGATAGATAGATAGATAGATAGATAGATAGATAGATAGATAGATACACCTAGTGAGCCAGACAAACCTACCTAGGTTTCACCTAAACGGATCATCAGGGAAAGTAAGGCTTACTAACTAGGTTTGTCTGGCTCACTAGGTGTATCTAGGTCTGCTCTACGGTTGTATTGAGCTCTTTTGTTAGTTAGTTGTTTACTCGTATCGGGTTTTTTTTTTTGGGCTTCAGACCTGCATCTGTGCGATTTTTTGTCGGCGGAAGTTCATGTTTGTAGCTCTTTCTTTTTTTGAAACCTTTTTTTCCTCGAGATTGATTTGATTATTAGCAAATAAAAAAAAATTCGAGGGTTTTCGAAAACGAGTCTATATATATATATATATATATATATATATATATATATATATATGAGGAGGCACGGAGGAGTAATGGATGGCTTGGGTTGAGGAATCGGAGAGCCGAGTTCGAATTCCAGTCGAATCCATTTACATTCACTAACGTGCTAATACCCTTGCGAAAGGTGTGAATCCTCTTCTTCTCCCTCCAGCTATGGGTACATAGCAGGACAGACTGGGTTCTATAGCCTTGGATGGCAACTGGTCTAGGAGAAGGACAACTCTGAATTCAAACATGGAGTGGATGGACGGCACTTTGTGCTACCTCTCCTTTGGACTCTGCTATCTATATATCCCGCCCAGGCTCGTAGCACACCGCGCTACTCCATTGTCTCTCGAGACAAACGGATACCGACGATATATATATATATATATATATATAAACATTCACTGACCGTCTCTGAATATTTACAGTACATTCTCATTCTTAAAAACAGAAATTCTATTACATATCTTTACTTTCTATATGTGTCCAGAGGGGCAACTAATTAGAAAGAAGATTATTGGTAAAAAAACTGAAGGTAACTCCACAGGGATTTTATACTGTTTCTGTTTTATAACTTAAAAAAATGAAAGAGAAAGAGAAAAATTAATCATTCTCATACTTTCAAAATTATATATATATATATATATATATATATATATATATATATATATATAATAAAATAATGAGAATGAACAGTAAGATTTATAATCCGGAGTTCTTATTAATTATTTTTATTTTTAAAAAAAAAACAGTGCTCAATACAATTCAGTAGAGACTAAACATGTTAAAGTTTAAAGTTTACTAATTTAAAAATATAGTTCCATCGCTACACAGGAATTACCATGTTTCTGGAAATCGATTCCAGAAATCGCTGGAAAATGAATCAGAGATAAAGATCTTAAATTTAATTCTATAATTAAATTTAAGGTTTAGTTTCTGTTCTTGAAACATGGTAATTCCTGTGTAGCGATGGTGCCATATTTTTTATAATTATA